TTCGAACCCTTTTCTGTGTTTCACTACTAATGTCTATTGGGAGAGAGGACTTCATTGAGAAGTTAATCAGGTTCCTACATTTGGATTCGGGGTAATGCACGCGTCTGTAAATGGTTTTCTCAGGTGGCATCTTGGGCACTGGTAACCCACTCCAGCCGTCGCCTCCACGGTCCCTGGTTCTTTGATTCTAAGTGCCTTTCACACTCCACGTGCTCTGTACCCCCCTCACCCTCCCCCCCAAGCTGAGTGGACCCGCCAGGATTCTTGGCAGGGTGCGAACCCATCACCTCGTAGCCTTGCTCGTCCTTCTGTGTGGCTTGGTCATGGACTCCGGCCAGACAGTAGGCCATGGCCTGTGGCTGCCTTTGCCAAGGTCCTGCTGTCCATACCCTTGGACCTTCCAAAGTCAGAGGCAAGGACAGTGAAATAGGCAGGCTATGGGAGAATTAGCATGATCATCTGCAAATTTGCATATAGTTTGCATACATTTTTATGAACAGGAGACGGAGGCATCTGACTGCAGGAAACAGTGCGGCACGTACCCTTTCCTGCCTTTTTGCCCTTTTTATCTCCCCAGGCTCCTTCTTCCCAGGCCGCTGCCTCCGCGGCTTCTGTGCCGGCAAACGCGAGTGCTGTCCGTTGTAGTGGGAAATGCAGGGGAGGAAAGTTCAAGGTTGAGGAAGCACTAATGTCAACACTTTAGATCTTTAAAATGTTTTTTTTAATTGATTTCAGAGAGAGGAAGGGAGAGGGAGATAGAAACATCAATGATGAGAGAGAATCATGGATCGGCTGCCTCCTGCACGCCCCCTACTGGGGATCGAGCCTGCAACCTGGGCATGTGCCCCAACCAGGGAATTGATCCGTGACCTCCTGGTTCATAGGTCAACGCTCAACCACAAAGCCACACCCGCCGGGTAAGACTTTAGGTCTTATAGCTGTGCCTGGTCACACAGCCTGTGGCGTTCCCGCCCCGTCAGGAGCTGAGCTGGTGTGGCGAGCACCCCTTGACCATCTCCAGGCAGCAACAAGCCACGTGCCTGCAGCTGTATTTCCTTGTGGCATTGTCCTCCAGCCCCGGTCCTCCTGCTGTGAGCACACCCATCCTTTGGCCACTTGGCTCTGTGAGCTCTTCCCCTCTGTGTCTCTGTGCCCTGGGTCCCCAGGGCCATTTTCACGCATGTGAGCGTGATTTCTTTCTGAATGTAATTTTAACTTGGTGTTTCTGACGGTCTGGCCACCGAGGCTCCAACGACCCTTTCACAGGGGTCGCCTAAGACCATCGGAAAACACATCTATAATTACATACTGTTTTTGTGATTCATCACTATGCTTTCATGATGTTCAATTTGTAACAATGACATTGGGGGTCACCACAACATGAGGAACTGTATGAAAGGGTCGCGGCATTAGGAAGGTTGAGAACCGCTGGGTTAGAGGAAATGAATGTGTGATAGCCGGAGCCTGGAGTGAGAGTAAAAACTTCTTTCTAAGCGGCCGCCATCAAACCTTTGGGTCGGGTGTTTTGGGGGCTCCGGAACGGTGACCTCCCTTAGACTTAGGGAGAACCTCAGTTCCGAGATGGTGGGGAGTCAGACTGAGCCTGTGCCTAGTTGCATGGTTTGGGACGATGTCCCTCCCTGCGTGACAGTGCTGTGCCGGAGGCTGGCCATTTGCTGACTCTGCAAATGTGCAAGGAGACACTTTCAAACCTTGTCCCAATTTCCTTGACCCAAGAGGAGGCTAGTAAATGCCTCCGGGTTCATCTGCCAGAACCCGGGGAGAGAGCCCTGTCCCGTTGGAGCTCAGTATCTGTCCTGCCGACATTCAGGTGCTTGGAGAAGTGGATCACGGAGCCCCTGCCACAGGGAGCACCTTCATTCCCAGCGCTTCGATCTGCTAATGCGGTTCCTCTCGCCCCACCCTGGAGCGGACGGTGTACTTTGATGGAGAGAGAAAATGCAGTGAAAAGAGACGCATAGACTCACAGACGGCTGTTGGGAACGCCTTAGGGAGACCAGCCGTGACTCAGGGATTTTTCAGATGGGAATTCTCTGTTTCTTAGGGGATTTCTAACGCGTGACAATGGTCGTAGCTGCCTGCATTTCTTGAGTGACTACTATATGCCTTTAAAAGGGTTAACTCTTTTAATCCTCACAACCCTATGCAGTAGCCCCACTTCACAGATGAGGAAGTCAAGGCTGAGGGAGGTTAAGAGCATGTCCCTGGGCCTCAGACCTCGTAAGCGAGTGGAGCTGGGACCCGAAGGCGAGTGGGCCTAACCGGAGCCCACATGTTCACTCAGCCCCATGATAGGGGGGAATCGCGGGTTCTCTTTGCAAGAAGCTCCGTGAGGACCATCCCTCCGGTGCTCTTTTAAAGGGAGGATACAAGTGCCAAGAGCCAGTAGGGCCTCGGGGACCCTGTAATGGGCTTGGCTCACCGTGATGGGGCCAAGAGGCACCTGGACGGTTCTTTCCAATTCCATTGAACTTCTTGGTAGGATAGCTTACCCCTGGAGGGAATGTTTAGAGAAAAGTAAAAATATCCTGGAACAAAACCTGCAACTAGTTTAGAATCCGTGTCTCATGTATAATTTATTTCCAGACGCTTTCTGTGGCAAACTTCTTGTTAGTCAGAGGGAAAGATGGTACATTTAAAATACATATATATTTTTTATTGGTTTCAGAGAGGAAGGGAGAGGGAGAGAGAGAGAGAAACATCAATGAGGAGAGAGAATCATAGATCAGCTGCTTCCTGCTCACCCCACACTGGGGATCGAGCCCCCAGACTGGGCACGTGTCCTTTCCCTGTCTCAGTCCGCCAGGGTCTGCTTTAGAGCGCCCTCATTCTCTACATCAGCGGTTCTCAACCTTCTGGCCCTTTAAATACAGTTCCTCATGTGGTGACCCAACCATAACATTATTTTCGTTGCTACTTCATCACTGTCATGTTGCTACTGTGATGAATCGTCATGTAAACATCTGATATGCAGGATGGTCTTAGGCGACCCCTGTGAAAGGGTCGTTTGACCGCCAAAGGGGTCGCAACCCACAGGTTGAGAACCACTGCTCTAAATGATACAGAAGAAAAGCAAGAGTTGGCTAACTGGTGCCTAAGCGGACCGACTGACGGAGTGAGGCCCGAACTCCCTACCTCCTCGGCGGCGGCCAGCCCAGCGGGTGGCTCGTGGCAGGTCATCCGTGGACACTTGTTTTTCTTGATGGGAGATTTGCTTTCAGAGGCTCCCTTTCCCAGAATGGGATGGAAAAAAAATCCGCTTTTCAGCCTCAGGATCCTCACCATTCCTACCTTTTCCAGATTGCTGACGAAGCAAGAAACCTTTCTGGGTTAAGTTTCTAGGCCACAGAATGTGCCAATATTGCCAAACCCTAATCGCCTCCTATTCCCTGGAGTGTGACCCAGTCTCTGCCTCGCCCTAAAGTTGTAACCGGGACCGGCCTGTGCCTCGGCGGGGCCCACAGAGCCCTGAGACGCTGATGAGCCTTCCTCCCGACTCCCCACCCCACCTCCGCCACGTGCCGATTGATTCCCAGGCTCCAGATGTAGCCTCTCCCCGGGGAATAGCTGCGTTCTCGTGCCGGCTCTGTAACCTGCATGGGGTGTGTCATTTGTGAAGCAATTTGGGGCACTGGTCCTCCCCCAGCTGAGTGTCACTGGCTCTGACTCCCACGTTGTCTCGATGGCACAGACAATGACTAAACGCAGGGAGTTTGTCTCACTGGGGGTCACACCAGGCAGCAGAACAACAACAAAAAATGCACCGCATCCGTTACATTTGCTAGACAAATGCAAAGTGCCGTTATCGTAAAGGGACAGCAAAGGCATCCTGTTCCCTTTGTGAATCTGCCGACCAATCAACGCCGTGATGAAATTCAGGAGGACAGTGATCACCGATTATAGCTCAGGGAGGTGTGCGGATGAAATGACAACTTGTCTTCAGCGAGGCTGTGTTTGTATCAGGGAGGCGTCCAAACACGCCAGTGTGGTGCCTCAGATGCTTTTGGTCATGGCGATACCAGCTGCCAATCGGAACCAAGAGTGGTGGACATTGTGCTGCTTCGAGTTATCCGTAAAGCATTTCAATCACAACTGCTATAGACTTTAAAATAGTTTTTTTTAAAATTGATTTT